GATGTACCTACAGTACATTGAAATCTAATACAGATCATAATGGCATAATGCAATTCAGCGTAATGACACCAAACTTCCGCTATACATACCCTTCATTTGCGATAATGTCAGCAGAGCAATTAGAAATGCATCCTTCGAGCCCAACTGCAAAACGATGTCAGATTAGTTGATACACCCAGTGACAACATCAAAAAGCGGTTGGTTAGAAACGGATGCTACGATTTGCAATGTATGTCAAAGGACTGCATTGTTTGCCCTTACGGAAAAGCAGGGGATTGCGCTAAATCGGGAGTTAAATACCAATTAGAATGTTTGAATTGCGGAGCATTATACATAGGCGAAACGGGTAGACCGTTGCGCACTAGGATTGAAGAACATTTGGCTAGCATGAAGCGAGGAACTCCAGCATCACTTTTAGGTAAACATAGATTTGAAGCACACCATGGCACCTTATTCGACGTGAAATGTACTACAATGGCTTTTGAGAATGAGACTTGCGCGCGAAAAACGCTTTAAGCAGCATGGATATCTTCCAAGAATCCTGCTATGAATAGTAAAAATGAATGTATTGTCATTACGAGTGATCTCTTGCCCCTGCTATCATTATGCAAGCTCACATCCGCACTTAATATATATAACTTGACACGCTGAGTATGAACTCAGTTGCGTCCGTCACAGTCGTGCGGGCTAGTGGTCTTATGGTAGACTGAGGTTGGCACTTTCGTTTTGCTTTTCAGTACATTGCACCAGGGAAGGTCGAACGGGCAGCGTTTGGCGAGACGTTTGGCGGTATAGTGAAAGTACGAATGCCTACGATCCTTTTCAGACTCTTGACGTAGACGAATTGTTCGAAACGTTGAGTCAATAAAGTTCCACCAATTAACTGGTTTCTACACAATTCAAGGTTTTTTTGCTTTTCCAAGAGGTAGGGTATTATTCGATAGGGCACATCAAACTCTACAAAATGACCCCCGAGAGACAGCCCAAGTCGCATTCCATGCAAGGTTAAAACCAATCGAAAAAATATGTCACCTAAAACTTGGATTTTAAAGGAGGAAATCCTACGGACCTCCAACTTGGTCATTTTACAGCAAGCACATGGTAGTACTCAAATATGCCTTTACTGAAACTTTTCCGCGCATAGAAATTGAAAAAAAAGAAGTTCAAATATGACAAACTCCCCCCAGAGCTCCTCCTACATATATAATTGTATACTGCAAGCCCTACTAAATATGGCCTCAAAATTTCTTTAAATGTGCTCTTATAATCTTATATATAAAGCTGAATGTCTGTTTGTCTGTATGTCTGTATGTCTGTCTGTCTGTATGTCTGTACGTATGTTCCGAATAGAAAATTTCATTTCTGAACCGATCCGGACCAAACTTGGCACACATACACTACGGGCCCCGGCGGGTGTCATAGGCTACTTTTCGTCATCAATCGATATCGATTTTATCGATTTTTATCGATTTTTTTGCTGAGTTCACCTACGGGGCTGGGAGTTGGCACAGGGGGGTAATCGAGCATGGGGATTCCGAATACAATATTGGTTTTCAGGATTATCGATTACTTTTATCGATTTTATCGATTTTTTTGCAAAGTTTGAGCTACGGGGCTGGGAGTTGGCACAGGGGGGTAATCGAGCATGGGGATTCCGAATACAATATTGGTTTTCAGGATTATCAATTACTTTTATCGATTTTATCGATTTTTTTTGCAAAGTTTGAGCTACGGGGCTGGGAGTTCGCACAGAGGGGTAATCGAGCATGGGGATTCCGAATACAATATTGGTTTTCGGGATTATCGATTACTTTTATCGATTTTATCGATTTTTTTGCAAAGTTTGAGCTAGGGGCTGGGAGTTGGCACAGGGGGGTAATCGAGCATGCTGATCATCCCCAAGGGGGTGATCAGCATGCTCGATTACCCCTGTGCCAAATTCCAGCCCCCTAACTCAAATTTTCAAAAAATCGATAAAATCGATAAAAGTAATGGACGATCTTGAAAACTAATATTGTATTCGTAATCTGCATGCTCGATTACCCCTCTGTGCAAACTCCCAGCCCCGCAGGTCAAACTTTACAAAAAAATCGATAAAATCGATAAAAGTAATGGACGATCCTGAAAACTAATATTGTGTTCGTAATCAGCATGCTCGATTACCCCCCTGTGCAAAATCCCAGCCTCGCATGTCAAAATTTACAAAAAATCGATAAAATCAATAAAAGTAATCGATAATTCTGAAAACTAATATTGTATTCGGAATCCCCATGCTCACTTCCCCCTGTGCCAACTCCTAGCCCTGTAGGTGAATTCTGCAAAAAAATCGATAAAAATCGGTAAAATCGACATCGATCGATAACGAAAAGTGGACTATGACACCCGCCGGGGCCCGAAGTGTATGTGTGCCAAGTTTGGTCCGGATACGGCGGAGCTGGGTAAGCCAGCTAGTCTCTTATAATACTAAGTTTTAATGAAAAATCCAAAAAATGTGGCATTCTGACATATTTGGACC